TCTATGAAAATATTTGAGATTGAAGAGTCCAGCTGTTGTATTCACCCACAGTGCGAGGTAGCCAGCGTGGGAAGAGGTTCTAGCCACGGGCAGATGGTGGCACCGGGCATTCACAGAGCAGGCAGCCGGACCCACCTGTATGCAATCTCGTACTTCCCTTTGTTCTTCAGAGTCAGCACTTGCTTCGCGTCATCCAGGACTTTAAGGATTCCAAAATCCACGTTGCCTTCTGTACCTGCCGAAAACCCGCAGAGCGAGGTAAGAAATGGGGAATATTTGTGAGCTGCTGCAGACTACACCGAGTGGCAAGATACAGACTTGGAGTTCTCAGGCGGCACAAAACCCTTCCCAGAAGTTCTCTCGAGCTACTTTGCTCTCCCTTACTTGGAGAATATCGGCAGGGTTTAGCAGCTAAGGAGCTCAGCTTCCACCTCCTTGCTTCCAAGCACGGATCCAACAGCCCTGCGTACCGTGCTGAGCCTCGAGGAGTTGCCAGCTGCTCCTTCACATCCCTGTTGTTTCAAAGCCCCCAAACCAGTCTGCCCATGAGGTTACACACTTCAAAGTTCGGAGGGGAGAGACTCGAGGCTGTCTGTGCCCTGACAGCGCTTCACTCCACGCAGCTTGCAGGATACGTGCTTTAATTATCCGTGCCATCCCATCCCAGTTCCACCCCACGTGCTTTGGTTGCCCATCTGCCAAGGCAAGGCAATGCACCCGGACCACTCGGTGCTGGCGGCACCCACCGACCTTTAGGAATGTTGATGCTCAGAGCAACATCGTAGGCCTCCGCAAAGATTTGGATATTTTCAATCTGAACAATCCCCAGGATGTTTTCTGCATCTGAAACCTGAAACGGCGAGAAACAAACACTGCTTACAACATTCTCCCGAATTCTTTTGGTGAACAACATACGAGTCCTTGTCTCTGCCAGCTGCTTCCACCACGGCTTCCCCCGCTGGACAAGTATTTGCAGACTCCCAAGCCTTCCTAACCCGTTCATCTCCTGGGCTGACCCAGCGGGATTCTGCCGCAGTAAGAAGCCCTATCAGCCCAAACCTGCACTCCTACAGCAGGCAACGCTGCTGCTAAAGCACCTGGGGAGGCACAGCGACGTAAAAACAACCACAAGAGGTGTGAGGTGTCCCAGAGCAGGTGGCACTGACAACCAACCCTCTCTCCTAAATCACCCAGCATCCTCGCCCAAACACAGCCCCTAAACCGCGGAGAACAAAATCCCAGGGTGAGAGTTTGTCGCTCTACGTGAAGAGCCCCGGACGGACTCCAGGATGGGTGCGGGGAGCACTCTGGACAACCAAGCATCAGCAGCCAACCACGCCCAGCAGTGAGGTGGGCTGGCACCCACCCCTGGGCTCAGGACGCAGCCTCCTAACCGGGCGTAAGCCCCGCAGAGGCAGCGGCTGGTTATCTGGGGTGACGCGGGTGCTCAGGGATGCACCGTGTGTTCTGGGGAACCCCGTCTGAGGCAGCACGAGTTGGGGTCGTAGCACCCTTGTGCGTCAGGCACATCTCTTCCTGACTCCACAATACACTCGCCCGACGAAGCTCAGCCACAACAGCACCCTAGCAGTCACTTGGTTTCCAAAACTCTTCGGTGAGAGTCCCTTGCTGCATGGCTCCCTGGCAGGAAGGAATCTCATGATGGCTCATCCTTTTGCCCTCTCTGCAGGGTCCCCTTCAAGCATTCTCCATCCCTGAGGGCTGATCACCCTGCCCTCCTCTGCCCCCTCACCTCCAGCCGGATCATCTTCTTAACGCTGACAGCCTTCGTGGCCTTGAAATACAGATGCAGGCCAAACTCCGCACGGGGACCAACGGTGCCCTCGCCTTGCGACACGGAGAAGTCCTCGCCGAGGTTTTCCAGCCCGGTGAGCCGCCAGGCCACGGGCAGCGGGGTGCTGTTCCGCAGGACCACGGTCTTGCTGTGCCTTCTGCAGAGAGAGGAAGACACTCAGCACCGGCTGCTCGGCGGTCACGCTAACTTTGGGATCGAATGCGACTTGGAGCAGCCCTATCCATGTGTATGAAACTGCACATTCAATGTTTTTTGGAGCAGCCCTATCCATGTGTATGAAACTGCACATTCAGTGTTTTCTCTGTGTCAGAAGCCTGAGAGGTTCTGGGGGAGAGCTGGGGGCTGCAAGTGTATCCAACGGAAGGGCGATAAGGAGGAGCAGCTGGACTGCTCTCCAGCCCAGCAGGCAAGATCGAAATCATAGAACGGTTTGGGTTGGAAGGGACCTTAAAGATGGAGATGCCCATCGCATGGCATTGCTGGGGGGCTACGGCACTCATGGATGTTATAGGACATCGATTCCAGCGAGGAACGGTGAACAAGAGACCGGGAACCGCTGGGAGAAAGAGCGGTGCTAGCCCAGCCTCCCACGCGAGCGGCAGGAGAAGCGGAAGGGGAGCTCGCTGACAGCTCTGGTCCCCGGCAGGATGACGGACCTGTGCAGCAGCACCTTGTCGAAATGCACCTGCTTGGGGCTGACCCCCAGCTCCACCTGCACCCCCTGGCAGCACAGGTGGAAAACCACCGGCTCCGGGTTCTCCCGAACGCAGCAGACGAGGTTGTCTTCCACGAGGCCGGCTGAAGTGGGGTACGCCCAGATGGTCAGCTCCTAGTCACGTCCCAGCAAAAAGAAATACAGGAGAACATTGGGTGAGCAGGAGGAACGGCTCCTGGGCGCTCGTACCGGTGCCTCATCTCTCACACCCCGCTCCTCTCTTACCTGCTTCTCCTTCGGTTTCAGCCTCATGCTGGGAGGGTCCAAAAGGAACGTGTTTGCTTTGAGATCGCGCTCAAAGAAGAAATGCACCTCTGCTTCCAAGGGGGTGACGTTGAGGATGGTTATCTTCTCGCAGTTGCTGGAATAGTGCAGCGCCTTGTACCTAGGTCCACAAAAGGGGAAAAGGTTGCGGAGGAGACCCCGGGACCGTCACCTCATCACCCATCGAGGAAAACACCATGTCCCGGCAGCGGGAGGCTAAGGAAGAAGATCACGTTGCATGCTACGTGTTTCATCCTTGCGTTACTTTGATGTCAGCCCCTGTGCCTCCATCCCAGAGGCGTGACGATGCGCGGGCCGCTTAGAGAGCGTTTCACATAATATAAATTCAAGGGCACCTGGAAAAATAAAAGTACGTCAGGCACGTGGGTTCCTCCCCCTTCTTTGTTGGGTTTCCTCCCCTGCAGGTTATAAAGAAATACTTTCGTAAAAGGGGTTTTTAAAAATAGTTTAGCTTATCTCTTTGAAAAAAGTTGTGAGACTGCCTTGTATTTCATGAGCTAGCTCAAAGTCTCAGGGAAGGAAACAGAAAGGATTAATTCCCAAGAGGAGTGCTAAATTTAACAAGTGTCCCTTCTTTCAGGTGCGGAACAGAATTTGGAGTTCTAGAGTTAAAAAAGCAAACAGAAACCTGAGACCATTCATCAGCCTGGCTACAGGTCCTCTTTTGGTTTTTAAACTGTTTTGATTTAATTTCTTTGGGTTGTCAAAATACCACTAGCTCTCCAGAGCTCCCATGAAGAACTTCATTTCTAATATTAAAAACAAGCAAAAAAAGCAATATTAAAATAGAAATATGCCAGCAGCTACAATGACAACTTTTTTCGGCAGACCTTATCCAGCAGCGAGGATCAGGACAATGTAATTCCCATTTTTATACCTCTGCAGGTTCCCCCCACCCCACACACACTGGCAGGTCAAATCAAACCCTTACTGATATTACAGATTAACGAACGCTGTACAAAACCACCAGCAGAATAATTGCTCAGTCTACCCAAGAGACCAAAGCACTTTAAAAAAAGCACCATAAAGTTCATTTCTCAAGCTGAGATGTGGAGGTGGGACACAAGTTGCTCCAAGTCACCTTCAGGCTGGAAGCAGCACGTGGCTCCAGCCACCAAGGCACCCGCTGGGTAAGGAAGATCATCTCCATCTCTGCCCAGCTCCTCCAAGACTCACATTCCTGTTATCTGCCCAAGTTCACGCGTCCGCGGCCGTTCAGCCCTGCATATCTCCCAGGTCTCTGCCTGAATTGTGCCACTGGGACAGCAAGTCTCCGAGCGTGTCCATGAAAGCACAAGGCCCTGGAGATCCCATCCCATCCCATCCCATCATCTCACTCCAGCCAGGCAGCGCATCAGGCTGCTCGCTCGGGGCAGGGAGCACGTACCAGTCTCTTGACTTCCCACACAGCAGCGGTCCGAAGTGGAATACACCAGTGTCCATGACATACTGCTTGAAGATGATGTCATCATCCGCCTTGCTCTTCCTCCGGTGAGGAAACACCAGCCTGGGGAGAGAAAAACGGGCAATGAGGAGCTGTGAGATGCTTTAAGTAGAAAGCCTGGTCAGAAAGCGATAACCCTTACTGGTGGCTGAGGTACCAGTACTGGTTCCCAGCTCCAAGCGAGGAAGAGATGCTTGGCCAGAAGGTCACAGGGGTACACAGGACAGCCCTGGCTCTGAGTTTAGGGGAAGGCAGGGCGGGAGGGTCCCAGGGTCAGCCTTACCGCGGGTCCTGGCTGATGGTGGGATACAGGCAGGTGCCCCTGCAGTGCAGCTGGTACAGACGGTTTGTCCCCAGCACCTCAAAATGCAGCGTCTGATCAAACTGGCCCAGCACCGCAGAGCTGAAGTGGACCTTCAGTTCCACCTCGCCGTGGGCAGGCACTATCCACCGGCAGCTGCTCAGCCTGGCAATTAAAGAAGAGGCTTCAGACATTGCTAACGAGGAAAAGAGACAAGGAGGAGGGTGGTGGACTCGCCGTCCCGTGGAGGCACCGGCGGAGGGTCCCTGCGGAGCTGGGGATGATGGACCTCGTTTGGCAAGACAGCCGTGAAGCAGAGGGATCACCTCCTCCCTCACAGCTCACCTGACGGATCTCCTCAGGGGTGGGACCATGTCCACACCACTTTGGTCCACCTCGGGGGTACGTGCGGGCGTTCCTGTGCCTGGCCCCTGGGACCTCCTGCCCCAGGCAGAGCTCCGCTTCTCCCTCGCAGCCTCCCGGCTGCCTGCAGCTTTCTCCTTCCTTGACCGGGCCCTGGTGGGGGTGACCTGCTCCTCCAACGTCTTCCCACCAAGGGGAGAGAGAAAGGGGAGAGAGAGGTGAGCCCTGCCCCGAGACGTCCCCACCCTGGAGAAAATGCTACAGGTTTGTTAACAACCAGGAGAGAATAAATCAGCAACCAGCATCTACTGGTTTCCCATGTGCCCAGGGACTTGGTCTTCCTCACTGGACTTTGTTTTGCCTACAACACCTCTCCTTGCCCAGCACCTTCTCCTCAAGGGAAGTTGAGGGCTTGAGGTGGGGTTTTTTTGTTTTTTCTCCTCTTGTCTTAACAGAACCACCCTATGTCTCCAGCAGAGCTGTCTCCTTTGGACAGACAACAGGGATATCTGCAGACACAGTGCCCCAACACGTCTTCACTGCCCTTCCACAGTGATCCTTTTCCATCCCACCATGCCCCACCCAGCCTGGTCCCCTGCCCCAGCACCTTCACTGCGGGCACGGCGAGGGCATCCATAGGACTTTCCGCGTCCTTCTTCTCTTCTTCCGCAGGGGCACTTTCTGGCACAACAAAGATGAAGTGCTTGAGGGCTTCTCCTGCCACAGGGACCGTCCGCTTCTCCGGGTAGCGGATCACAGAGTAAAAAGCGGTGGGGGGAATGGGAGGCCCTGAGGGACCCAGGCCCAGGTGATCCAGGATCTAAAGCATAAGAGAAAAACCTGTTTATCCTCCCGTCACCTTCATCCTCACACTCCTTCCTTACGGGCACTGAGATTTTGGCAATGTTTTTTTTATTTATACGGAATACAGTGCTTTTTGTACACCCAGTGGGGTGGGCAGGCTCCAGAGCAGTGCCAGGACCCACAGGCGGGACCTAGACAGAAACCTCTCCTCTGAGTGACTCTACTGAAGGAAATGACGACCACGAGCTGCCCTACCCTGGGACCATTTTTAATGATTTCCAGACCGGGAAACTCTCTGAACAGACAGGATGCCTGAACAGAGAGCACTCCCTCTTTCCACTCATCCGAGGGATGCTGAGAACCTCCCCAGCCACGTGGCTGCTGTGGAGCCATTGTGGAACACCATCGGTGGCCCGGACAAGGCTCTGTGCCGTTGTCACCTGGTGGGACACAACGCACCAGGGCCCGGACCGCGACAGGCTCAGCATCGGAGCCTCGCAAGGCTTTACCTGCTCTGCCGCTGGCAGCTTGCCGCTCTCCAGGATCTCCCTAGTCACATCTTCTGAGCTCAGCACTTGTATGTCCAAGCGGGGCACCCCAGCATCCTGGCCTCTGGCTGATCCTTCCGCACCTTCCTCTTCCAGCTGAGCTAACTTGGAGTCCTCAAGAGCCTTCAGTTTTTCCAGCCGCTCCCTCTCTCTGTCCTTCCGGCTCCTGCGGCCGGATAAATGCTGGTGCTTGTCTTCTGCTGGGTGCTGCACCTCCTCTTGGTTCAGAGGGGACAGCAGGATACCCTGAACCCTGTCCCAGGATGACAAAATATGTGCAACATCCTTCTGTGATGCCTCGTAGATCTTAAACCTCCGGGCCAAGTTCTTCTCGCTGTCACTCAGCACCTCGGGTTTGGTTTCCCCCTGTTCTGGGTCTGAGAGTTGTGTTGTCGCAACAACCACTGCTGGTCCAGCATCCGTCAGGGGAACCTTGCTCCGCTTTTTCTTATCTTCCTTGTCACCTGCAACAGGGTCTGGGTGCTCCTTTACAGCTCCCTTCTTCTCTATGCCCTCGGTGACATCCGACCGGTTGCTGGTGGATGCATTGGTGTTGCTGGTGGATGTGTTCGTGTTCTGGGCAGGAGGAGTAGGAAAAAAAAGCAGTGAGCATTTCAAAGCACTGACTCAAGCGCTGTAGGACAGTGATGACCTTTACAATAGCACCCCCAGACCTGTGCTAGGTGCTCTACAAATCCCAATTCGGAACGCAGCTGGTACCCAGTTTAGCTCAACTGAAACTAAACTCTCCAGTGTCAGACTGATGAGGAGTCCTACCAACCAGCTGAGAAACAGAACAGCTTCCCAACCCAAACAGGGAACCTCCGTACTCCTGTGCAATCCTCTGGGCTCATTGCTGGTGTACCGAGCGTCCCTGTGGCTGGCTGACTCTTTGGGAAGTCTGGTTGCTAATCAACACCTAACGCCTGGTGGTATCTCCTGCCAGACATGCAGGAAGAGACACCGCATCCTAGACAGGTCACGGCTCGGAGGTGTGAGTCACATGCGGAGCGGGGAGAAATGCTGGACTGGAACTATCTAGGGCTTCGCAGGGAAGGTATGGAGGTATGTGAAGCCATGATCCTACAGCAGAGCAGCTCTCCCCACAAACCCACGGGAAAACACCCCGTGAAGCAGCATCATGATCAGCCTCCCGCTGTTGTTTCCCAGCGCAGCCCCACGCATTACTCATGGCCAGGTTCTGGTCCCTGAGAAGCCAGCAGCCACACGCAACACCCGGGAATGGTACAGCTCAGCGGGAAGGTCCCCAGGGCTTTACTCATCTCTATAAACACAACCACCCACCTGCCTGACGCCGGGCTGGCTTTTCTTCCCCAAAGCATTATCTTTGTCTTTTCCAAGCTCTCTCTTCCCCCGTTTAGATTTCTTCTTCAGCTCTTCTTCCTCCTTCAAGCGTTCGAGCTCCCGCCGGTGCTTTTCCTCAAGCTCTCGAGCCAGCTGCTCCATCTCCCTTCAGCAAAGCAAACAGAAAACATCCCCGAGAGTCACCACCAGAAACCTGGGCTCACTGCAATCCCACCTGGTCCGGCACTTCATTCATCGAGCCGTTACATCATCTCCATGGACTTCTCTCAACCTGGGGAGGTTGAGAACACCCAAAGTGAGGAAAGGTGGGAGGGGACCTCCAAGGCCAGCCAAATCTAAGCCTTGCTGTCAGAAGGTCTCAATTGTGCAACTTCTCCGGTAAGGTGCACCTGGACACCTCCAGCACGCCGCCCGAGACTGATCCACCATCGCCGATGCCTGAAGCCCTCTCGATTTCCCAGTGTAAACCAGCTCACAAATCACTAACACCTACTTATCCCTGCACCGATACGCACTTGGCTTATCCGGCCCTCCTTCTCCCTGGGCACAGCCTGCTCCTTACCAAGAACCATCATGTAAATCAGAAAGCAAAGGCTGCAGTAACTCCCCTCCTGCAAAACAGGCTCTGAACAACCACGTTTCCTGCTGGAACCCAGCAGTGACCAGGAGAAACTTGTGCTGTCCATCCTGGAAATCACCATTTGAAGCAGCCCTAGCGATCTCCTCCCAGGGAAACAAAACTTCAGCCCGGGCACAAACACACGCTCGCTTTAAGCGGGTTTCCTTCCCAGTTTCACACTCATCCTATGCATCCCCCTGAACAGGGCTGCTTTGCTGGATCAGAGCTTCTCCCAGCTCACCTGCTGCTGCAGCTGAGGGTGAGCCCAGGAGACACCAGCTTTCATGGCTGGTGTCACCCCAGGAGATCAGCACTGCAAGGACCGGTCTGACAGACACTGTTGGCCTCGGAGCTCAACCAAGGTCTCCGGAGCAGGGAAACCCTTCAGGGACACTGTCCTGGGGAGCGACCCACGGAAGGCTTACAGACCTCTTCTTCCTCTCTCGCTGGACTTGTCGTATGTTGTTATTAAACTGAGTTTTCTGCTCCTCAGTGAGGGCGTCATACTCTTCCTCATCCATCTCCCAGAGACGTGCTTTCTCCCTCTTGGCAGCTTCTTCCCGCTCCCGTCCTTCAGCGCAGACCAGAGGAGACACCATTAGTGGCTGCGGGCAGAGCTTGCTGGTCCGGGTGAGCTGCGAGGACTCACAACTCTGCCCCGACCCAGCCTACCACCCCACCAGGAGATACTGGGGAGCCCACATCCCTGCTCCAAAATTCAGGTAATCCTCCGAACTCTGGGCGTTCAGCGAGTTCCCGTGCCTAGCCTGGTTCACGTGCACCAGCGTCGTGGACCACTGGTTGGTGGTTAGTTACTGAGCCGCAGCAGCTTGCACTTGGGCCCAAGCTTTAATATTAAAGACTAAGCTAAGTCTTACAGCCTCGGCTCTACTGTATTTTAAGCAACCGTGAGCTGAGCGCTGGCTATACTGAGGCAGAAGGTGGAAGAATTAATAAAAATATTTCTTATAAGCTCTGCTGGTAACCCCGATACAGACGGGTAAGGTTTGAGAGGTACGGAGAGGAAGGGTCTCACCTTCCTGCTCTTTTGCGGCTGTCTCCCTGGCTTTCAAAGCAGCGTAATCCTGGAACAGGTTCACGAAATAGATATAAGGCCGATTTCTGACAGCTTTGAGCAGGCAGAGGAGAGCAGACGCCGTGTTGCGTGCAAAGAGGGTCTCCAGGCCATCAAACACCACTCCCTGGTAGCAGTCACTCAACTGCGAACAAAGTCAAAGCGGAAGAGGAAGTCAGCCGCCGCGCGCCTGGGGCTGCCAGCTCGTCGGTACACCCGAACGCCCGAGGACGCCAGCCCGTGCTGCTCCAAATGCCCCAACTCAGCCGAGCTCCGGCCCTTCCCTGTGCTCTGCCAAATTACGGCGCCTGCAGCTTCACCCAAGGATCCCCACGTGCGGCCCAGGACCCCTCCGACAGCAGATCTGGATCTCCTCCCCTCCGAATTGTACCTCGCTGCCCGTCTCT